ATGGCGCAATTTGTTCTAAAAATAGAAAAATTGTCCCATATCATAGGTGCGCGCGGATCCCAAGACTTACGGTCTCCGTCCCCGATTATGGCTCCTAGTGACAAAAAATAGACCATGGGTTTTTATTACGTTCCTTGAAAAAGGCACACGATTTTTCAGTCATTTATTACATTGCTAGGGGCTGCTCACACCTTCCCTGTCTCAAATATTTCATTCATTCATATAAAGATCGTGTTGTTATGTCACAATGCAAGCAAGCGCGCGAGATCAGTTTCGGTACAAGGAACCTAGGTGCTCGCTAAGTCCTTGTAGGAGCCATGTCACAGTTTGCACATCTCGAAAAGTTTAGCCTAAATTTTTCAAGTTCGTCGTTCGCAATCCGTGTTAAATTTCACCATCCTTGTTCCTTATCATTATTATTATCTCTCTGGTGTTTTTCTATCTTCGTAAACTAGTATTTTCAGATTTTCTTTCAATTTTGTACCTCGCCAAATGATAATTTCAAATACCATGACTTGAGTAGCGGAAAAAGGTGACTGCTTTCATGCATGGAAGAGAGTTTATGCTGCCTTAATAGCAACGAAATCAATTTTTTTATTCATACAGCAAATTTAAACATTACAGTATATATTTAACAGCCTACAAATGGCCCAGTCGCAAAACAATTCATCCTCTTCCGAAGAATAAAGGAAAGAGCGCACACTTGAAAAAATCACACTTGTATTACCGTATAAAAAACGTCAACCTTCCCATAACACAACCAAATCGAGTGCCTGCATAACATATTTGCTAAAAATGAAAATCAGGATCAAAAATGTTATATAGCAAATGTAGAGAAGTCGCTATGCGTAAGAATTTTTTCTAAAGCCTTCGAGGAAGGCGAGGAGTACTTAATTTCAGTTGAAACATTCAGAACACTGTTTCGTTTTGTTCGGTTACTTCCTCATCCAGGATACTGTGCCCGCGGTGTTTTCTAAGCTTTCCATGGTCATCCTCATCAGCGCCAACTACGATTTCCTAACAAAACAAATAAACAAGGGAATAAATACAAAGGTAACACTAGCTTCCAAAAAAAAAAAACATATAAAAAGTTAACTAAGTAAGAGGGTGTCGAGGAGATTTAATTTTCTGGTAGCTGAGAATTGGCTAAAAGTTGTATTGCCAGCTGATAATATATATACAGTGTATAGTACCCTGTGAGCAAAATCCTTCAGTTCAGGTTGACTTTCATCAATTTCCCAGGAGAACTTGTGATCTGGCAAAAACCCATATAACCACTCCTTCAGCGGGAAAAGCAGCCTGGGATCGATTTCTCTAGCGCGGTCTTCTTTGGTTTCTAAGGAGGGAAAAATAGCGTAAAATATTCGTATCTAAGGAATTGTTCGCACCAATTTAATTCAAAATTAATAATTAATCAATCCTTGTATAAATCGCTGCGCCCGCAGTACGAGAGCGGCAGTCAAAACCGAGCTGTCCTACCTAAACGAAACGATAATAGTCTTTTTTCTTAAGGCAGCTAAAAAAATAATTAAAGACAATGCTAAAGTTGCTTTGGTCTCTCCTAATACTTAACTCCACAATTCTGGGTTTAATTTGACGAGCAACAACACATTTTGTTCAAAATAACACAACTATTATCCTACTTGGCGGCACTCGATAGACTACGAGCTAATTGCCGGAAGCGGACGACCCATTTTGGCGTCAAATTACATGTAAAAGCTTGAATATTTTTCACATTATACAATTTGATATGGTTTCTGAAATTATAAATCCCTTTTCGTGAATATGCAATGCCGTCTCCAGTGAGAAAAGTTGCCCGACTTCAATGCCTTTCCTGTTGACATATATTGACATCAAGACAGAACATTTTTTCCCGCCTGCTGAACCCTGATTGCTCAATTCAAATTTCAGGCGCACCAGCCGTATGCAAGGTGTTATTTTGCAAAAATAATAGCAAACCAAACAAGGAGTAGAGAAAATAACCCGACAAAATGACCCGGACCAGCGCTCCAACTTGGAACACTTGAGAGTTAAACGCACCTACCATTGTTCACCGGTAGGTAAAATCTATAATATATAAATCTATAATATCTATAAAATTTTGCGTACTTACCAAAGGCAAAGCTCACCAAGATTCCCACGACAAATGACGTCAGTACAGAAATAGCACTGAACCACAGGTACGAGATGTGATAAAAATCATCTGCGATAGCAACACTGTGGAGAGAATATTGAAATAGAGAGCTTCTCAGTTCGGCGTAGTGTGGGTATTGTCACAACAAATCACAACATAAGAAACAACACAGTCTCAATGAACCAACAAGAACGCGAAGCAAATGCACGTAACCGGTGCCAAGGGCAGAAAAATGCACCTAGCGAAGTCGTAATTAGTTTTGGTCTTGCATCTGATTGTTTGAATGAGTGAAGCCGGAGAGATTTTTACATAACCGTCAAGTCATAACCGTATGATAGAGCGGGGTTTTCAATGGACCTTTCGGCGATACGGCGGCCATTTTGAATTCTGGTGATTCAAATAGCTATTATGAGATGCTCAGGGGCCAAATTAGTTGTGTTTGTGTCCTAAGCATCCCATAATAGCTATTTGAAACAATAGAATTCAAAATGGCCGCCGAATCGCCGAAAAGGTTCACTGAGTGTCGATTACTTTGATTTTGTGGACTGCGCAATAACTACCTGGAAGGAAGGGGNGGGGGAGGCTGGGAAATGGGTGAAATATGCCCCAAAACTAAGTCATACCCCGCTCTTCTTAAACATAAATTAATTTCAACCTCTCCCCCTCACATAATGATAATATTAAGGCGAACACCTCCGCTTTGAAAAAAGTCTCCTCCCACTGATTCCCTCATACCTAGTTTACTTGTTGGAGTTCTTCCTCCGGTACAAACATCACTTCAAATGACTCTTCGATGTATGTCAAAGAGTCATTTGAAGAGTCATCAGAATCGCTGGACTCTGAGCTTGTGTCGTCTTCGCATGAACTGGGAGATTCCTCATCTTCTACAGCATCTCTGGCACTTAAGTTCCCACGTGCGTGGGTGAGAACTCGATCAATCAACTCAGTCTTGCTTCCACTTATCTTAAGACCTTTTTGCTTTAGATACATTTTCAGCTGCTTGTTGGTAAGTGCTTTTACATGTTTTTCAACTGTCCAAGAAATAAGCGGAAGAGTCTTCCTTTCTCTTACTCTTTTTTTTGGCTTTTGCATCATGGAATTCAAGGTGCTGTACATAACTTTTACATGAAGTCTCGTCCACGTTGTACTGGGAACACACCTCTGGCAAAGACCTCTCTTCAGAAGAGGGCAATTTTCCCTCATTGAACAATCTCTTTATCTGGACACTTGGGAGAAACTTGTCGATCTGGTCTCCAGTGGACGTTACCGTAGTGAATGGTAAGTACTTTCCAGGCGAAGTAGCATCTAGGGTTGGAACTGGAGAACGTTGGTCAGGAACACCTCTTGTCCAACCTTCATTAAGTCATCTATCGCACGTTGGAGTGCAGGAAAACTTAAGTTACTCAAGGAAGTACTGCCCCTGACGAACATGGTCTTCTTTTAATTTCTGAAGCTTTTCAAACAAGGCATTCCCACACATATTAAATTTTACATCCAACCCCCCTCTCTCTTGTTGTCATTTTCTCCTTGCCCCGCTCTAATTTTCCACCCCTCCCCCCTCCAGGTAATTATTGCACAGTCCTTAATGCTAGGTCCAAGTTATTAACAAGATTGTAAAATTAGTACCTGGGTTGGACTGGTGTCATTTCAAACTCTTCGGAATCAGTTTTTAGCTTCATGCTTCCCTGTCTTAACCTGTGAATTAGAACAGGTTATGTATGAACATCAAAACACGCAATTCGAATACCTAGAAAGAAGAAACAAGGACATTTGTTTCCTTTTTACTAAAAGTATTGGAATCAATCTCTCTAAGTCTAAGTTCTTGTGTGTCTCATTTGAGGTAACTTATAGCAACCGCTGTATCAAAAAATCATACTTCCGCGATTGGCGAAACAGATCACTTTCTCTACAGGATGATTTACATGAGGCCAAGTGGGTAAAAAATATTTAACCATCTGTATTACCCACGACTAGATTCAGTCGAGGAAATAATGGAGGATCAGTCTCTGAGGCCTGCATTTAGGGCAAAAATTTAAAAGTTTCTGTATACCGCCATAGTAATATTCAAATGGAAATTAGTTACCTTTGCCTTGAACGGGTCTTGAAACAGAACACTGATACTATGACAAGCAGCAACAATACTACACCTCCCCCTATTGTTCCATAAAGCAACAATGGCATTTTTCCTGAAGATACCAAGAAACGACTATATTTAAATTAAAAAGCTGTACACGTAACAGAAATTAACGTAAAACTGGTGACATATGAAACATAATGTAAAATAGACCAACTCCGAGTAACTTTGTGCCTCTCTTTCAAAACGGGTCCTCGTGCAAAACCTTTCACATGATACATGAAAATAAACCTGTAGGGGAAACACATTTTCATATATGAATGGTTTTGCACAAAGACTCGTTCTCACACAGGGGCAAAAGGCATCTCGGAAATAGCCTATTGCTGTTTTTAATATAGGTTGGAAACTTTTGGGAAACAATGGAAAAAGGAAATAAGAAAAAACTTGAACATAAAGATCGATCAATACGTCATTTCCTCTTCTAACATCAAAACAATGTGTCTAACAGGATGATCCAACAAATGTTCACAACTATCATCAAATGAACTAATTAGAAATCAGTTTAAGTGTTTAAAGTTTTGGATGGGAAAGGTTAGTGAGGCAGCACAAAAATGTGAACATCAAAGTACCCATCATCACCTTTGTTTCCAGATCCATACGGCGCGACTGAACCCGCTGTAGTTCTCTTATGGTGCAATAGTGTAGATGTAGTTTGGTGAGCCGAGTGTGTAGTCACGTAAGTATCTGTTGCTGACTGATGCGCAGTGGTCACATGAGTGCCTGTCGTGGACTTCTGTTTAGTGGTCATGTGAGTGCCTGTTGTGAACTGCTGTTTAGTGGTCACGTGAGTATTTGTTGTAGACTGCTGTGCAGGAACAGTTATCATAGGAACTCTACTTGGTTCATTTGTAGTTAAACTTTCAGTGGAAATTACTTTAGAAGAAACCAAAGTCGTGGGATACGTAGGCCGCAGAGGACTCCGTGCTGTATTACAAAACAAAACAGTTACAATGTGGCTCTGCAAAATAAACTAAGCTCTCTCATCTTTGCTCGTCCTTAACTGCGCATATGGTCTTATACATTGATGATCACGATGAAGAATGTAATAACGTACCTGAACAGTCTAATAACGAAGTTGATTATTTTTGGGAGGTCGCAGCTGTCAGGGACAAGGAGAAATTTTACTGACCTACTACATGAAGTTGAACAGGTGGTGAACTAATTTCATTCACGGATGTCCTAGCAAAGGCTTGATAAAGACCATCGTCTGCCTCTGACACGTTACGTACGAGGAGACTGCCATTGGTTACCACAGACAGTCTGGGACTCTGGGACGAGGAGTGAATCTTTACTGCGTTCTTGTACCAAGTAATGCTACCAACCGATACATGGCTGTCAATTGTAACATCTGTTCCTGTATAGGGTTTGATTACTGAAGGAAATCTCCGCTTGAAAGATGGAAGGGCTGAAATGTAAAGTGATCAGTGTGATGAGAACTGTACAGGTTCATATTAAGACGACTGACAACCCAACAACATTTATATACCGTAAATCTTCCAATTAGCGCCCGGGGCGCTTATTTCAAATGTAGGAGAAGATGGGGGG